GATGGAACTGAGTAGCGCAGATGAAGCAGAACAGACTGGCCACCATTGACCCAAACTGCCTCCGGACCTCTCTCTGCATCTGCCATAGTGACAGAATCACACATAGTCCAAGAACTCCTCTCACTGCGGAACAGAGAACAACAAAGATGATGAAACAAACAAAAACAATGTTAAGCAACAAATTGTGATATTAGATCTACCTAGGATTTGAGTGTAAAACTTTGGTGCTTGCAGGAGGGTAAGCACACACTTCATTGGTGAACTGAGTCCTGATATGAACAGGGGTCCAAGAAACGTCCGTGGAACCACACCAGGAAACTCATGATGATCATACTGGAGAAACCGTAATAACAAGGAATTAATCGAGACTTGATGACTTAGGTAAAGTTGGTTTTATATTCGCACATTCGTGTTAGAGAACTTTTTCAATTAAATAGTCAATGAAGCAATTTTTTTTTAGATTCAAAGCAGCTACATGATATTGACAACAAAGATAGTGAACTACAACCTTTACTACAATCGATCAAAATGGGCAAGTATATTTTTGATGCATGCATAATTTAGCGAATATTCAAAGTAGTGTGGAAACCAAGATAGGGACCGTCTAAAAATTTAACATTGTTTTTCATCGTGTGCAAACAGACAATTACATTCTAGCCAACTACAGCTGCACCAGAAAATATCTCTCACATTATGTGTTCTAATGCAATAAAATGTCCTTTAGCAACAATAAAACTGCATTATAATGATGGTGTTTAAAAAGCTGTTTAGGAAATAATAAAGAATGTACATGTCAGCTACATGAACTGTAATCTGGTAACAATCCAGACTGTAGAAAGTGGAAAATCATGTGTAATCTCCTGAACATAGTTAATTGCTTCATTTTACATCTGTTTAAATTTGTTTATCTATTTATTTGAATTTAAAATGAACAAGAACACAAGAACAGTGTTGGTGTTGGTTTTAATAATAACATATGATTTATTTCAATAGGTTTTGAAAGGATGGGCTGACTGTTCCTAAGCAAGTTGGATCGTCTTATCTGGACCCTACAGAACATACTACTACAGCCCATGTCTTTCTGTTTTATCCACCTCTGTTTTTCTGTTTTTAAGTGTAATAAAGACTTATAAAGACTTAATATAAAGACTCAATAAAGACAGTGTGACAGTGTTCTCCAGGCGCTGAATAAAAAGAATGGCCCAACATTTTTTATTCTTTCCTGTTGTATAGCATCTTCAGTTAACGTTAAACTCACAATAACACAATTCGTTTGCATTGATTGATGTTTACAGTCCTGCAGAAATATCACTGTCCAAGGTACTGAATCCATCAGATTATTGACAAGTACTCAGAAAGCATGAAAGCAAACATGATGTTTTGGGTGTGAAGGGTGTGGATTTTGGAATAAACTGCTGCTTCATGTATATTTTGACTAATTATAATCAAGGTTTTCTTTCTAAATATCACATGAGTGGAATGACTTACATAGGCATGTGAGATTTTACTTAGTTATAGAAGTTACCAGTATGATTACTTAAATGTTTGTTTCATGTTTTTTTTGTCTGTATTTGATATCTGAATGTAGTAACAGTGCTTGCTCATTTAGTGATTCTGTGATCTTTGTAATGGCCTACAAACTCCTGTGAGGGTCTTGAAGCTGACTTCTGTTGATGAAATTAAAAACTATCTTAAGTAAATCTTTAATTTATTATAATTCTGACTCCTGCTCTTCATTCATCATATCTGGTTCTGGGTCTTTGACTGTGCACCCCTAACAGGTGAACATTTAAAAAATATCATAACTCCTATGGGGTTCTTCAATAGCACATCTTCCATCAAAAAAAATATTACATTATCTAAATATATCTATTACTGTAATGGCTGAAAACAGTAACTTCTTTACTTCATGGATCATGGATGTATTTAAAGAAGAATGATTTCCTTTAAAAGAACATTGAAACAAAAGTACAGTTTGACAATATCTCCCTTACTGTTTGTACAATTATCAAATGTTTATTAAAAAAATACTGTAATTCCACTAACGTATTTTTTCCCATTTCAAAGGCTGTAGTCCTTTCCTTCTCACCACACTGACCTACTACAGGTGAAATTTGGACAATAACTCCTTTACTGTACGTACAATAAACTAATAAGCTCAAGAAAAAATAGCTGTAATTCACCGCAAGTATTTTTTCCTGTTCCAAATGCTTTAGTCCTTTCCTAGTGACCACACTGACCTACTACAGGTGCAATTTTGACAATAACTCCCTTACTGAACAATTATCAAATATATTTATGTAATAAACATTATTACATGTGTTTATTACATAGGTTTATGTAATAAACTGTAATTGACCTATAGTGTTTTATATATATATATAGCTTTTTATTTTCACTTTGCATGTTTTCGGAGTTCCATGTTCAATATCTCGTGAGCCGAATATTGTTACTACACAAATAACATTGTTTTAATCTCCTCAAAACTTGTTTTCCTTCAAGTTTGCACTTTGCAGATGGTCCCTTCTTAGCAGCCTGCGCATAGAGATCAATGTATTTTGTCCAGTGCGAAGGAAAGGTCGTTTTGAGAAAATTAATGTTGTAGCTTCTGGTGTTTTATCTGTAGTTATATGTGATGTGTTGTGTGTAGCAACAACGTTTAGTTCGCGAGTTATTGAACGCGGAAGTCCGCGAATGTGCGAATATAAAACCAACTTTACCTAAGTGACTTGATGCACGTGCCAATTATGCACTATTCTACACCCTTTTGAGGTATAAATAGAGTGAGTAGTTAAGTATAAATAGAGTTGTAGTACTTGTTTGTATTATATACATGTCCAAACATACTTAGACCCACGAGGAAAGTATAAAGTTATGTCATTTTGGACATAACGTTAGTCAGTCCTCATGTGGGTCTAATAAGTCTAATGTTAAACAACACAGAACTGTCAATGCACTACATTGCAATAGTTCTTTGGACATGTAACGTTATACAAACAAACAAGTCTGTGGACATGTTCCACTCATAGGGTTCCACTAATAGGTTTTCAAATATATCACTTACCTTTTCAAATTCTAATCCGTGATACAGAACATCGTGAATTGCTTGTAAATTAAAACTTTCTTCAACTTTAGTGTAGGGACAGGTAAACAAATGTAGAAATACAATACTGATCATAAAAATTAGAAGACGATGCTCATTCACAGCTTCCTTCCGCGCCATCATTAATACGCGTCTTTCAGCGCGTGCGCAAACGTCTGAGTTTAGAAATGAGTGAGTAGTAGAACAAAATTTTGACAAGAAAGAAGTTCTGAAATGGGCGGGGCTTAGTAGACCGAATGTTTTAAAACATGTTAATATATTAGTATGTATAATAAATTCATAAATACTTGCTCTATATAGCTTAATGTCAATTCATATAAGCTTAGTTTAAGAAATATAGACTAAGTTACTGCTTCAGACATGTTCTTTGAGAAGGAATGAAAGTTGTCTTAATCGATTTTACAAACAGGAAAATAACGATTAAATGATGCAAACAGAATTCAGTTAATTTCAGTAGTGTCATTGGTCAATTTAGTGTTGATTCAATTCAATTCTTGTAAGAGAAAAGAGTGATCTCATTTGTGTGCTTATATGATTCCAGAAGCCATCACAATTCAGAATATAACATCTCCAGCTCTTTCTGCTTGAAAACCGGGATACATCAGCATTGTAATGTAGTAAGTTGAGTAATGAAGTTTGTGATAAGTGGTAAGTATTGTGATTCCAAATGAAGACTTGCCTGAGACAGTCATAGAGCCTCAACGCTAGACGGCGAAAGTGAATAGGAAAAAAGCGAGGAAATGGAAGTAGAAGAAGAGCGGTACCATAGAAGTTTTTTTTTTGTTTGTTTGTTTGTTTGTTTGTTTTTTATTGAACACACTTATTTACAAAAAAAAACAATTTACAAAATCTCTCGTTGGGAGACACATGTGCATGACATACACAGTTACATTGAACAAAATTCAATAAGCAAAATAAAAACAAATAAACCTAAAATGAAATCAATTAAGCAAAGGCATTTCAGTCCATAAGGCATGTCAAAGTTATTCACATATAAACATTATCTTCAGTCTTCATATAATCATAAAAATAAAGTTACATGGAAGCTTTACAAATTATAATGACAAATATTTTGTGACATCTTCACATAGAGAATACATTTTTTCACTGGAGTCTTTCAGAAGTTTCAAAGACAAAAAAATATTCCCTCAATTTAATTTTAAACACTATTATGGATGGATTTTTATTTTTCCATTTGCATTTATGAATATGGTATTTTGGGTACCATAGAAGTGTTACGGCGGAGTTTCCATCGTCATCACCGGCGGCCATCTTGTCCAATAATATCTGTCTGCAGAGCCGCAGAGCCACAGTTTCACCCCAGCATATCTGTCTGCAGAGCCGCAGAGCCACAGTTTCACCCCAGCAGTTTTACACCAGCAGTTTTACCCCGCGCATGCGCCGTTTCACCACAACAGTTTGAACCAGTTTTATCCGCAGTATTAAAACGATCTAATGGTTATTGCTACCAATTATTTTTGCTTATTAGTCTGCAGAGCCACAGTTTCACCCCAGCAGTTTCAACCCGCACATGCGCAGTTTCACCTCAACAGTTTTACCCGTGCACGCGCAGTTGCAAAATAGTTTTTGTTACCAATTATTTTTGCTTATTAGTTGTTGTTGTTTTTTTTGTTTTGTTTTTTTGCTGTTGCTCGCAGGCCTTCAGGTTCCTTTACTGAAATAAAACAGTGCTTGTATCAGGAACACACTAATCTTTTACATTTTTCCTCCAAAAAATAAATAGCCTGGCCTACATACACTTAATTGCTCAATGCCTGATATTACACAAACTTCTGATTAGACATTCAAAGGCTAACTATTAGTCTAAATCAATATATGTCTAATTATTCTTAAATTAATTAAATCTGCCTGATGAAACAAATGACTTGAACACAAATTATTAACAATAATTTCAAAAAATTTATTAATTTTGGAGACATTACCAAGAATACAATTATATTTCATTTCAATTACCAGAGAGACATACTAATACAGACAGACAGGCATACGATTCAGACAGACAGGCACACTGATACACATACACAGTGATACAGACAGACATATTGATACACAGCCATACATAGTGATACAGACAAACTAATATACATACACAGACATACTGATACAGACAGACAGCAAGTCTGTCACCAATTAGAAAATAAATAATAATAATTAAATGTCAGGGTTTTAAAATGATGACACTCTAACATTTTTCTTGTCCTTAACCTCAGACATGAAAAAGAGCAAAATAGAATAGGGCTCTTAATTTATCATCCTCATCCAAAGTTGTGGCACAATGTGAATGTAGTGGAGAAAGGGCTTTCTTCCTCCTCCATGCTGTCAATGCGTGGTGGCAAGTACTTGCTCTTCATCAGCGGGTGATTGTCCTTCAAACATTCCACACCTTTCCTGATGCTGCTCATCATATTGGCATTCTTTATGAAAAATATTTGAAAATAAACAGCAATCAACAATTTTATATTTTCAGATAAATAAAACTTGAAGTCTAAATATATTTTATACATTACAGAATTCTACAAAATACCTCAAGATTGTGTGGTGTTGTGTCCCCCTCAGTGCTCCTATGCCATATTTAATTTCTCCTGGTCCATTCATCTGTTGTAGAAGAGCACAGTGATGTAATGTATTTCAATTGTCCACTACAAAATGTTTCATTTAATAAAATGTATAATTTCATACATATGCAATGCAGAACCAAACTAAGGTTTGATTTACTTCGAATTTACATGAGAGAATTCAGCTATTTGAATCAATTCACTTTACAAAAACAAACAAAAATAACAAAGGTCAATGTCCCTCCCCTAATACAGGATGTCCACCAGTTAAGACTTTTAAGCCCTTTTTTAATACTGCATCATAAAACTACAACATTACATTTAGCAAGAACATATATTTAAAGTAGTGCATGATCAGACTAGCTCTAAGACCATTTGGCTTGGGGCACATGTGTGTTCACAGGGGGTCTTTTAGGGTCTTTCAAGGATCAACCCTGCAACAATGGGACTTGGTGTGTAAACCCTAGAAACAAAATTCTCCACGAGGAGAAGGCACCACTTATTGTGTCATGAATGTCATGCTGAGAAAAAAGCAATACTTTCATGAATACTATTAACAACAATATTATTTATATAACGTAGAAATAAGACTTACAGCAGTGAAATCAACGGATTCATTCAATACGATCTGTAGGGCATACTGAAACATTCATTTTACAATATATTTTTGATATAACAGAGTGGAGACAGACTGATAAAAGTCCAGTAACTTACCATAATCATGAAGACCCCACAGGATGTACCGAGTTGATGGGAGATATGCTATAACATTGAAGGAATGTAAATGATTTAGAAACGCACAACGGCAGCTACATATAGAAATACAATATAGCCTGGCTATATATATATATATTTTTTTACCATCGATTTGGCGCCCCCCATTGGGCTGCGCCGCTATGCGCCGCATATAGCGCATACCAACTTTTTGCGCCACTGAGCTACACACACACACACACACACACAGTTTCACACACACAGAACGCAGCCAGCCACCGAATCCACCGAACGCAGCCACCTGTAATAAAAATTGAGAAGAAGCTTTTCAACGTGTTTGCATGAGTAATTTCTATTAATTTCTAGTTAATGTAATTTTACCACAGGACCTAGGCTATGTAATATCAATAGCCAAATCGCATGTGATAAGATATAGGTTATTAATAAAACTAGAAGTTGGAGGGGTAAATCAATCAATTTGCGCATCGCTGTCATGCGTGTAGCCTATATTACGTTGCTTCCTGATGTGCGCAAACACAAACAACCTATACAACAGGGCAGTTGAATGCTTATCTGATAACCTAGAAGCTCTTGTAATTATTACTTTAACACCTCTCCATGCCGGGTGAACACCGGCTGATGCAGTAAACAGCAGTTCACAACGATTTCTGTACAGTAATAGCAAATATCCTTGCTCCTTCTCGATTATCTCGTAATATTCTATTCACAAAATACAACCAATAGTACGGTAATGTTAAGACTTACTTGTGAAAAGCACTATTTTCGGTGGTCCGGCGATTAGAACAGGAAAATGCTCCACAGTGCTCTGGCATCTTATCCGCTGCCACGCAACGAGACTAGGACTAGGAATACGCCCGGTTCAAGATGGCGGCTGGATTTCTCGTTTTCCAGCGGCCAATAGGGTATCTAGCCTCTATATGATATCTATGCAAGTGACTTCAGCGATTTCGTTGGAGGGGGCGTAACTTTTAGGGGCGTGGTTTGGAGTGCTGCTTGCTGAAGGCTCTTGCTGAACTTAGTCGGATACGCTTGAGCGTGGAGGCAGTTCATTGGTTCGTACGTTGATGGGCAGGAAAACTCTCCAATTAGATAAAGACACAATGTTACCGAAGGGCTGACGCGGAAATCTGAATCGAATGTCTAGCTGGTGTAGCGGCATGGAAATATGTAAAAGTGACATTCTACACATTTGTATTATTAACGTGTAATCATTTCAGGCACTAGATGTTAATACAGGACATCTTAACTAGCAGGAGACAAGCCCATAAAAAACAGCGTTTTATTACTGGACAGCATATGAGCTAGACCACACACTTGATGAAGCCATGTTACTCTCATATAGTATTTTTTACCTGATGTTTGTTATTTTGTGTCTATCTTTTGGATCTACCTATACAAAGGACTTTAACGCATTGTGCTCAACATGCAGACAGTTAGTCGACAATTTTGACAAGGTATGTACTATCTATTTCCATATATAAAGGTAGAACCTTTAAAGCGACACATTTCATTAAATAAAGTTTCTTTTAAAATGATTAAGCAATCCATACTCTTCAGAAAAGTGTTAGTTCGTAGAAGAAAGTCTGGTATCAGAGATACTTCATTATTTGACATAGCATTCAGATATGTTAAAATGGGATGCATGCAAGTGTCCAAATATTTTTTTAGGTTCACTTTAGATGTTAAGTGTTAACCTATGCAATTTTTGCAGGGTCTTGAAAAAACAGCGAATCAAAATTTTGGTGGTGGAAACACAGCATGGGAAGAGCGAAAACTCTCCAGATACGAGTCGAGGTAAGAAGTATAACATTACTGACAAAACAACATTTAACTTGTGTGCACTAATGAGAATGCCCTAAGGTAAGTGTAATTGACTAAAATGTGTGTTTTCTGCAGTGAGATTAGGCTGATGGAGATCCTGGAGGGCGCCTGTGTCAGCAGCAGTTTTGAGTGCAACCTCATGTTGGAGGAAAACGAAGAACACTTTGAGACATGGTGGTTCAAGAGGTCAGGAACTCAGATGGAGAATTTGTGCCATAATAACTGAAGACTTCATTCTCAAAACTGAGGTATACTGCGTGCCGTCACGTCTCGTGCACTGTTGAGTAGGCAAGCCTTTCTGAGCGCTCTTCATTTGACCTGTTTGCACTACAGCTGTTTTGTGATGCTACAGCTGTTGTCAAGTATAGGTCTACCGCTCTCTGAAAGACAAAGCAGCAGGATCATCGCGTACTTGGCTACGGTGACCAGCTGTCTTACGTTTTGTGGGACAGGCTAGAAATTAGGAGCCTGCATTTCAATTAGGCTTGTATTTCTTTTTCTTCCCTGAAATGTAATTTGTAATTTGTGCAGTCGTTATCAGTCTTTCTAAGGCTTCTAGGCCTCCTCAGTATTGAATGAGATGGTCTAGGAAGGGTGGATGCTGTGCCATAAAGCTTTTCTTCCTCTGCAGTCACGATACAAAAAAAAACCACCTATAAAAATAAACTTAGGATTTTTTATGTATTTATTAATAATAAATAAATATTTTAAGCACATTCCTTCAACAAATTCTAAATAAATCATATTTTCATGCATAAGTTTTAATTCAGCTCAAAATATCTTGCATTGGGTGTCTTTGACGACCTCTTGTGGAAAAAAAAAACGTTACACGATATTTCATGACTCTTGCCACTAGATGGCCTTATAGCTCTATTTTGGAGCAAATGAGCTGTTCCGGTCGGTCCTAGAGTCAGTTCTTTTCAGATGCATATGTAGACATTATAAAATATTTTTTGGTAAAGTTTTAGCTTTTTTAGTTTGAATTTTGAGCAATTTTAGGATTTTTAGTGTGTATTGAAGCATTCCATTCATTCCTAAGAGGGTCAAATTGACTCGCAAGGGAAGGATTTGTTAGTTTTTAAATTTCAAATACAAAACTCCTGAATGCCATTCAATTTGTTTTGTGTATTTGTGGTTCAAGTGCGACAAAAGTCCTCGGGTCGTGTTCATCATTTGTTTAAAAATAAAAAGAGTTTCGAGACAAAATTAACTGACTTTCTATTATACTATAATGAAACTTCCTAAATGCTGATTCATTTTCCTATAATTCTTTTTCATGAATTGGAATGTGTGCAAAGGATTGTGGGTGATTGGAGGAGCCTTTGTTTCACATCCTTCATTCTCTGAATGATGTGAAACAAAGACTGCCTTCAAAGGATCTTTTGAATTGAGACTGCCTTCTGTGTCGCTTGAGGATGTTGTAACCCAGAAATGAGGCTTTCTAGGATGCAGCCTTCCGATTGAGAATCATAAATTAAATTTCTTTTAACACGAATGTATTTCTATTGCAGGAAAACTAAACACCCAGATCTGTTTAAATGGTTTTGTGTAGAGACCATCAAAGTGTGCTGCCCTAAAGGCTCATTTGGTCCTGACTGCAACAGTAAGTGAATTAAGCCTGACTGTGTTGGGCTACAAACACATTTAATGCAATTGTAATGCAATAATACAAATGCTTGGCCAATCCATTGCAAGTGCACAGTAAATCGTACACTGCCATTCAAAAGATTGGGATCTTCTGCTCACCAAGGTTGCATTTATTTAAAAATTCAAACAAACCGTGATATTTTGAAATATAGTGACAATTTAAAATAACTGTTTTCTGTTTGAATATATTTAAAGTGTAATATATTCTTGTGATCAAAGCTGAATTTTCAGCATCATTACTTCAGTCTTCAGTGTCACATGATTCTTCAGAAATCATTCTAATATGATGATTTGCTGCTCAATAAACATTTCTGATTATTATCAATTTTGAAAACTGTTATGTACATTTTTTTTATTTCAGATAAATGCTGTTCTTTGAACTTTCTATTCATCAAATAATGCTGAAAAAACATTGTACACAACTGTTTTCTACATTGATAATAATAATGATAATTATAAATGTTTTGAGCAGCAAATCATGATATTTGAATGATTTCTGAAGGACCATGTGACACTGAAGTAATGACGATGAAAATTCAACTTTACCATCACAGGAATACATTTAAATATATTAAATATTTTCAAACAGAAAACAGTTATTTTAAATTGTCATAATATTTAACAGTATTGCTCTTTGTTTGTTTTTCAATTGAATAAATGCAACCGAAGATACTTATTTTAAAAACATTAAAAATCTTACTGATCCTAACCTTTTGAATGGCAGTGAATACACTAAAAATGTTCTTGGATAACTGTAATCTCAGTACTGAAGAGGGACAAAAGTGTAACTTTCAAATCTGTGGTCCATTAAACTTGATACAGGTAGCTATAAGCTGATGGAAATGGGAGGGGAAACAATGTTTCAGACGCATACAATTGAGTTTGTGGAGCTAGAAGAGTTTTCATTGATGGAATTTAATGCTCCCCTCTTGAGAGGATGAAAGCTTATCTTGTAAAATTGTTGCTTATTTTGCATTATTTTAAGCTTGTGTTGGAGGAGCTGAAAGACCATGCCATGGGAACGGCAAATGTGATGGAGACGGAACAAGGGCTGGAAATGGAAAGTGCAGTTGTGATAAAGGATATGAAGGAGAGTTTTGTCTGGACTGCAGTGACGGATATTTTAGTGAGCTGAGGAACCATACATTCTCCTTATGCAAAGGTACACAAAATAACTTTATTACCCTCATATGCAGTGGCTATAAAAAGTATACACACCCCTACTAAAAAAAAATGAAACAGATAAATCATATCAGAACCTTTGGACCTTTAATGTAAAAATTGCAACCTATGCAATGCCACTGATAACCAAAGTGACACGTTTCTGAGAAAAAAAAGGCAAAAGAGATTTGCAGTAGAGTTTTTCTCTCTCAGATATTACACACAAGTTTTATTACATGCATTTAAACCTCACTCTGATATCCATACCAACACACAAAATATACAGAAGCAGGAAAAGGGAATAAAGCTAGTATTTGCTTTATACTGTAGGCCAAACCTACAGAGCCCCTAAAGGGGCCTTTGCAAAAATAAAAATATACAGACTTTTCACATGCTCACGAGAAATGTATCTTGTGTTCACGTGAAAGTATGTGTATTTTTATTTATGTGTAGTCCCTTTAGGGGCTCTGTACTAACCTGAGAAAATGGCTCAATCTGTAAAAAAAAAAAATTTGAAAAAAATATGATCAAATGTATTCACAAATGTATTTACAAATTAATCAATTAACAAAGACTGCACCATTTTATAGTTAAATGGCCCTGGGATTAAAAATTGGCGTTTCAATGGGGACCTTCTTGTCTTTAGTGTAATGATTGTGTGTACCTATTGTAAAATAGATTTATTAAAGGAAATTGGGATGAAATAGTAAAACTCTTACAAAAATTCACACTTGTGCCAAAATTGATGCAATTGACTAACACAGGCAAAATGATAAAAAAAAAAAAAAAATGAAAAAGAAAAATGTCCATAAGGTCGCACAAAGGTTAAAAGACTGGCGTGTAAAAAATAAATAAAAAAAATGACACTGTTAAGCTGTTTTTTTCTACAGAATGTCATGCTCTAAAACACCGACACAGCCATGATTTTACACACTACAATATAGTAGGTGATGGTATACACCTTTTACATGCAAGTGTTCTTTGAATTGTCATCTTAATTTGTGTTCGCTGCTTGTAGAAAGTGAGTTGCTTGGAGCCAATCATCCTCTGTGCGAGGAGAGCATGTACACATAAAAAAAAATACGATCTACTCCACTTTACTCCAAAAAGTTTGTTTTAATTCAGCTAAGAGGTCAGGCTGTGGTGTATCAATCTTCTATTGGTCACGTCTTCATGTTATATGAATTTGCAGGTCCGAGTTAGCCAAACTTGAACTTTGGAACGCAAAAACTTTTGCACAATCTTGTGTTTCCAACATTCGCATGCGTTTGAATGTAATGAGCTATTGGCAATAATATGGTGACTTCCCATGACTAATCATTAGTCTTAATTTTGACTATACTTTCTTGTTGATGACCAATAATGAGATGCCATTGATGCTTTAAAGCTCATTTTGGCCCATGGATCTTAGTTGCATGCAACCAAGAAGATGCCAGAAAAATCTTACAAGAAAAACTGACGTTCATTAGTATACATGTCTTCACCTGAAGTGACTTTCACGAGGTTGATGATTTGTGTAAAGTTAAAGTTCTGATATGATTTATTTTTCATTTTTACAAACTAGCTATTTTAACAAAGAAAAGTAGACTTCTTATATCCACACCACAGTATGTTCTATTATATGTTCTAGTCACAATATTTGTAAAATTGAGTTTATCCATTTACTTTGGGTTCCAAAAGTGAGATTTAAAATCTAAAATCTGGAAAGTTTAGAAAAATCATTATCAAATACAAAACAAGGTGAATAGAGTGCTGATGTTATGACATCACTTTGTAGGCCAAAACGCGCAAGGGAGCATTTTAGCACTTCCGGTTCCCTCGCCCTAAAGTCTTCTTTTTTTTTTTTTTTTTTTTTTTTTAATGGGTTTTGCTAAATTGCCTGAAATAAGGTCTGTGGTTAACAAAGCCTCTAAATATTTTCACGTTTTGATCTTTGACATAAAACACAGTTATAACCTGCTTGTGGGTTGTTGTTGTTTTTTTACTTTATTGTGTGCTTGTGTTTTTTTTTATTTTATTTTTTTTGTTTTTTTTTACTTACTTTATATAGGCTTCAAAATGTATACACTTTTGGATTAACTTACACACAATTCTCACACAAGACTCACAATTCTTTGTTGAACACAGATCTTTTCCACAGTGCTTTTCCAAAAGTGTATGGGGAAAATGCATAGCTTTCTGATCGAGGGAACCCATGCGCCGTTTTAATTCCAAGCTACCCAAGTTTTACAGCATGTAACAAAAGTGATGTCATAACTTCGGCACACTATTGGTGCTTGCTGTTATTAAAGCAAATGGTAATTATGATGTAAATTTGTCAAGGCATATTTTTATGCTGATGATATTTGAGATTATTTGACTTTTTTGCAGTTATGTATTTGTAATTTGATTTAATTTATTTTTTGAGAATGCCATGAGTCTTGTGTTGCCTGCACTGGCGGAACCAATCAGGATTGTAAAGAGTGTAGGAATGGTTGGGAGGAAGGCCAAGGAGGAGCATGCATCGGTAAGAAAGCTTCTCATGGCTAGCTACAGTGAACCCATGACTCAGTTTTTACTTTATTTAATGCCTGCAAAATGCATGGAAACCTGTGCATGTGCATTTTTCTTGTTCTGTTTTAAAATATTTGATTGATTTAGAGTATGGTGGTGTACTGTCATCTGTTTATTATTCTGACCCATTTATATATATATATATATATATATATATTTTATTTTTAATTGGAGACCTTTGTAAAGTAATATGATAAATTGTAATACTAAGAAATAAACTAAAAATGCTGCACTGCCCTAAACCCGCCCTTAAAGGGTCATGAAACCCTGAACCCAATTTTCTGAGATTTTAACAGAGGTATGCGTGTTGAACACCAATGAAGACAATGTTAGCATCTTTAGTTTTAACAGTAGGGGGAAAATGCTTAAATTGTAGTTTGTTTGTTTTTTCCGCTATTTTTGTCTTCAGGGTTTAAAATCTTCAACGCTGTGACGTGGCACTGCACTGCTTTGACTCATCAGTGTTTTATAATTATTCACGAGACTGAGTTTTCTTATTGTATGAGAAGACACCATGTGGATCTTTCCGATGACAAACATGTCAAACTGTGATATTGCACAGTAGATGAGAGAGGCAATCATGGAACGCAAGTGTTTGTTTTCGTGGTGCAAAAGTTCCAGTGTGTTGCATATCTTTCCCCACAATGCTGCCAATGCTAGAGATCAACCACGGACACAGCTAAACAGCTAAAGTTTGAGTCACTTTTAACGTGTGTTTGTAGCAAGCATTTTTGTAGCGAGAGAGCTTCGAGAACTAGAGATTGGTGAACTTCGGCCTTGTTCACCAATCCAGGTTGCGTCTTGCGAGTGATGTGATACCAAGTCCCAAGGACTTTTCTATCCCTTATTTACTCTGTGTGTGTGTGTGTGTGTGTGTGTGTGTGTGTCTACAATGTTACGCCATCCGTTTTACTTGCCTTAGTTTTGTTAAACCTCTGGGGTCAACAAATGCGCCGGCATGATTTGCTGGATTTTTTTTTTTTTTCACATAGGAGAAATTTATTTAAAATACTATGGAAGTAAAATAATGTCAAATGTTTTTGAAACAAAAAGCATGTTGAATTGCACCAATTTGCCTTTGGCTAAGCCACACCCTAGAATATAGATTGACCAATCACAGCGCAGCCAAGAACGAGCTCCCACAGAGGTCAGACGCTTTTTCACAGCGCTCCATTGACTTTCAAAACAGGCGTCTCATAATTTTGGTCTCTATTACTGTCGTAGTTCAAAAATATGGTTAAACGTTGTGCCTGGGGCATTTGTAACACAGATACGCGTTTCCCAGAGAGGTTGGAGGGGGGTGTCCGTTTTTTTTCCCTTCCCAAAACTGAAGTCAAATCTGACAAGTGTCGTCTTTGGATTAAACTGTGTGGGCGTCCTCACTCAGCTAAACCCCTCAAAGGTCAACAAGCACATCTTTTTTGCTTCTAACCTTACTATGAAGTTAGACTAACGGTCGAACGACCGTTTTATAATGTTTTAGGTTATGATTTCGGTTCTCATACCGGTTGTTGATACGCTAGCACACGCTGCTAATAAATACAACGTTATACTCGTGTAGTCCGTTTGCTTTGTAATAACGATTATAGAAGTGAATAGAGACCTACCCAGCTTGAACAGTGTTGCTCCTATATTGTTAGTCATAGCCTCCGTCTCGATTAGTAGGATATGCAGTGGTTCATTTTTTGACTGTGACCGGTAACATTATGCTTTTACCTCTATTTGGATGCCTTGTTTCTTGCGTTTCACCTGTATGTCTTGAATATAGCCTTCGAACTAATATTGCAGCCCCTTTTGCCTACTTAATAATAATAATAATAATATTTCATTACATTTATATAGCGCTTTTTCTGGACACTCAAAGCGCTTCACATGGGGGTGGGGGGGGGATCTCAACTACCACCAATACTTCTATCGGACACTTTATTTGCTGCTTTATAAAAGTTTGATAACATTTCAGCTGGAAGAGCTGTCACAGCATAAGCCATGTTGATACCAAACCAGAGCCCAGATGAAGTTTGATGGATGTAGCAACAGTAACTAAGGGGGGCGGGGCTTAGCCAAAGGTGAGTTTAAAAAAAATATGCATTGTCCATGCATGAATTTTAATCCATGGTATTTTAAGGCTTGCATTTATATGGGCTAAAATTCAACATGGTTGAATATTTAAGCTGAATATTTCAATTAAAAACATTTTAAACACATTTTCATTATTAAAAATTAAATAATCCATATTCACCTTTCATATTTCACATCCAAACTTTTCAAACTGTTTAAAAATACAACTTGTAATATTCAACAGGCAATTTGGTCCGTGTACTTTTTCGTTCATTCATTATTCTATTTCGGAATGAAAGATGAAATGTAAAAAAGGGTGCAACTTGGTTTTTTGTTTAAAAAAAAAAATCAGAAATGGCTATTTTGTTTTCCAAATGTATTGTGGTCATCAAATAATAGTATTAGAAAATTGGACAACATTTCCGATCGTTTTTTTAATCTGTAATATTTATTTGTATGTTTATTGTATTTCAAATGACTCCGGCGCCAGCTGATGAGGGGGCGTTCACATTAACGCATGTCACCACTCTTTTGCCATGTTCAATATTCTCCCCAACACTTTTTAAAACATCTTTGTGGCACGGATGTACCAATACAAATTAATTAAACATCTCCAGTTAACTTTCAGACCATTCAATTTGTTCGTTTGTCAAATTAGAGTCGTTCTAGCCTCTGAAATGTGGAGTTTTTTCAAATCAACTGATCAAAGTGCTCGTTGCCGAAGTAATGATTATGAATGTCTAATATAACAAGGAGACATTTGAATTGTTTTTGTGTCAGTGTTGCCTGCAAAGATAAAGTCGACAATGCTGATCGTGATCTTCACAGTAGTGAACATAAACAATATTTATATTTAATATTTATATTTAAACAATATGAATGTAAGCCAGAGGAGAACTGGCCCCCGACTGAGCCTGGGTTCTCCCAAGGTTTTTTCTCCATCCAATCTGATGGAGTTTGGTTCCTTGCCACTGTCGCCTTGCTTTTGGCTTGCTTTGAGCTTGCTCAGTTGGGGTTATTTATTTAGTGTTTAGCAATGTTGTTGATCTGTGTTGTGCTACTTACATGTTATCACTGTGAAGCTGCTTTGATACAATCTGTATTGTGAAAAGCGCTATATAAATAAATGTGACTTGACTTGACTTGACTTGAACACGCCAAAGAGAAATGCACATTTCATATGGATTACAGAAACAGAGAGCAGTCTGTTTTCTTTCGTTTTGAAATGTTCTTTTTAGAAGTTAACATTTTAGATATTTCTCAGGTCTGGTGTCGCTTTCAGAGCACTCACACCCGTAACAGATTCCCCAATTATAAAGAATTGATCTATTATCCACTTATCAAATGGATATATATAGCACATAATAAAATATTCATTTGATGCAAACCAACAGGAATCCTTGCCTTTTCTGCAGAGGCTTCAATCACTTTTTGACAGGTGAAATACTGCATTATAATGGTTGTATTGGCCCTTTACAGGTATTTTAATAGGTAAAAAGGACAGAGCGAGTTATAATCAGTCAGATTTAACCCTCATGGATATAAGCAGCACATTTCATGGCAGTAATAACCTTTCAATCAATAAGTAGAGGCTTCAATTACTGAAGATTGGTTGTAATAATGGTTGTATTGGCCCTTTACATATATTTTAATAGGTAAAAAGTACTGGGTGAGTGATGTTTATTTGCATGTTATGTCTGCTTGATCCACATAAAAGCAACTGCATTCGTAAAGAGAATGGGCGATTAGGCCTACACCTTTAACAAGGTGCGCGCGCTCCCACGGCCGGCCGGCAATTTTCGGCGGAACATCACTTTTCGGCACAACACCGGCTCTGAGTCATTTGAAGTTCAATAAAATAAATATTACAGATTAAAAAACGATCGGGACCGAATGTCGTCCAATTTTCTAATGCTAATATTTGATGACAACAATAGACCCCTTTTGCGCCGATGTCACAGTTACGTCACGGCGCTAGCTGGAGCCAAAACAAAGTGAAAACTGGAGGCGGCCAATATAAAACAGCACAGATTCGGCTACATAATGAGGAGCTTAAATAATTGTTACTATTATTAAATGTCATCTTGTTGTGTTTGCGATATTGTGATCTATTTACGATCGGTTTCTCTATAAGGTAGGTGTAGAAGTCAGGCCACTCAACCGAGGTAACGTACGTTAATCCTGTCAGATCATCCATGAGTGAGCATGTAGGCGGCTACAGGTCGGCCAATCTGGTTCCGTCCGTTAAAAATAACTTTTGGAAATATCAATTGCGGTCCTGGACACTGAGTGATTAAGATAATATCGGATTTTCTCCAGTCATTGTTAAAAACAAGCTAACAATCCTTGCTAACTAGCGTTAGTGAAGTGGGCAGAGGGATCTTTCTGCCTCCACCTAAGCTCCGCCCACAAAAAAATGTCACCATGTTTACCAACTGTAAAAGGGTCTATAGGCCCTTACATACAATTCGCCTTTGGCTAAGCCACGCCCCAGAATGTAGCTGGACCAATCACAGCGCAGCCAAGAACGAGCTCCCACAGAGGTCGGACACTTTTTCACAGCGCTCCATTGACTTTCAACACAGGTGTCTCATGTTTTTGGTCTCGGCAGGCTATCACCGTCGTAGATTTATAAAAAATATGGTTAAACGTTGTGCCTGGGGCATTTGTAACACAGATGCGCGTTTCCCAGAGAGGTTAGAGGGGGGTGTCTATTTTTTCCCTTCCCAAAACCAAAAACAAATTCTGACAAGTGTCGTTTTTGTTAAACTGTATGGACGTCCTCGGTCAGCTAAACCCCTCGCGGATTAATTGATTAATCGTGCAGCTCTAAAACCTTGTAAGAAGCCCAGTTTATTAAAGACATTTAATTTTTAGATGTTTAATATTTGTGATTATGTGATTTCAACGTCTCATATTTGTCTTTAATGAAAGTGAATTTTCCTAATTTTTAAAATTTTCCATTACAGACATCAATGAGTGCACCAAAGATTCATCTCCATGCGCAGAAAACCAATTCTGCTTAAACACTGATGGTTCATTCTCCTGTAAAGGTTTGTTGAAATAATAATGTACCCTGTATTTTAGCTTTATCATTAATCAAATCACTAAAGTAGGGTGTTACTGTTCTTACTGTATTTACTGTTACTGTATTTCCCAGCATGCAATACCGGATGCTCCGGATGCAAAGGACCTGGTGCCGATAGCTGCCTCACCTGTGCGGATGGCTATAAGGATGATGAAGGCACCTGCATGGGTATCACTTATCTTCATGCTCAAACAGTGTAACTTATCTTACCTGGATTTGCTTTCTCACATGGTAGAACTTTAATGGCAATGATTGGAGTTGGACCATTACTGGGGAAAAATTACTGGGGAAATTAAGCACTCACAGTCCAAATGGTTAACACGTCACCAAGCTGCCCCACCCGTTTACGTGACCCGTGACGTGGGGAATGGCGGCTTCAGAGTAGCAAGCAAACTGAGAAGTTGAGCAAAAAGGTTGCCTTCTCTAAAGTTCTTTCTGCTTTTTCTACACTCTCTGCGCCATTGTCCCGGCTGACCACAGTAATAACACCTGCCCTCTCTCTTAGGACATTTACGTTTCTGTGGGTTCTCTGTGCTGACCTTAAATGATGCTGCTGCAATTTTTACTCTTGCATCCGCATCTTTTTCCCATGCTGCCAACCTATCCAGATTACTTCTGAGAGTTCTGTTAGACCTAGGCTGAATCCCAATTCTCTGTCTTACCCCTTCCCCGTTCCCCTTCCCCTTAGTTTTGCGTGTTCACATGAGAGGAAGGGCTATCCCAATTCTCATTTTGATCTAGGGGTAGGGGTAAGGTGAAGGGGTATATACCCCTTAAGACCAAGAATTTTCGCGAGCTTGCTTGAAACCAAAGGGTAAGAAATGCACAATTTTTTTTCACTTAAATTATTGATAAAAAAAAATATGACCGTCTTGTTTTGTGCTCTACACAATTATGTACATATATATTTGTAACTATGTTTATTGAAACGTTTTTAAAAATCGCTACTTTACTACGCTAGGCTATGCTAACGTTACATTGCTGATTTGTACAATCAGTGCTACATTTCAAGATCACCCAAAATGTCTGGGATTCAGCTTTTGCTTTCTACAGTCTCCTTTCATTATGTGTACATTGTTTGACACAGAAACGTACGTGATCAGCTTCTCAGATGATGCATTCAGCTTCAAACGAAAACGCGGGAATATTAGATCAACAATACATTCAGATTCACCGATTTAAATGAAAGAATTCAGTCCGATTGAAACAACACCTTGTGCATGTAAACATAATAACACTTGTTGCCCCGGGTGACACAGACGCCAGTTAAAGGGATAGTTCACTTTGAAATTAATTTTTGATATGTTTTAGCTTACCTCAAGGGGATCCAAGATGTAGGTGTCTGTTTCCACAGCATTTTCAATTTTGACATTTTTTGGTTAAACCGTTGTTGTCTGTCAGTCATACACTGGAGGCTAAGGGGGTCCTCAATTGGTTCACCTCAAAGAGCATGCACAGAGAAGTCAAAATTAAACATGATTTAATGACTCGTACATGTAAGTACACATTGATGGCCTAAGACACGAAACGAGTGGTTTGTGTGAGAAAACGAACGGTATTTATATCGTTTTACCTCTTGTAATCATAGCCATGACAAAATGATCTAACGGCATGGGCGCTTCGGTCTGCGCATGCGCTTGAAGTGATCGCTTGTGTGCCTACGTCACTCTTTGTTTATACAGAGATTTCGGAAGTTTTACCTTTCACTAAACATATTTAGATATACGGGAAACCGCAATGGACGATTTCAGTATATCTAAATATGTTTAGTAAAAGGTAAAACTTCCGAAATCTCCACGTAAATATTGAGTGACGTCACACGCAAGCGATCACTTCCGGCGTAACATTGAATTGATTCAGTTCGGTTCAGTTGGACATTGAACAACTGATTCAGATCACTTGGATTACACAAGGTAAAAACGATATAAATACTGTTCATTTTCTCACAAAAACCGCTCGTTTCAGGTCTTAGGCCATCAATGTGTACTTACATTTACTAGTAATTAAATTATGTTTAATTTTGACTTCTCTGTGCATGCTTTTTGGTGGACCCCCTTTGCCTCCAGTGTATGACTGATAGACAACAACGGTTTGACTGAAAAATGTCAAAATTGAAAATACTGTGGAAACAAAAACACCTACATCTTGGATTCCCTTGAGGTAAGCTAAAACATATCAAAAAATAATTTCAAAGTGAACTATCCCTTTAAGGACGATGCAAGATGACGTAACCGAGTGGTGTCTCATTTCATAGGGGTATGTTTGCACTAGCGCTTACCTCTCGGTTTCGAGGGACAAGGGCTAGGGGTAAGACGAAAGGGCAGGGGGAAGGGGGAAGACAGAGAATTGGGATTCAGCCCAATTCAGATCTAAAAATGGCAAAGCTCTTCTGTAGTCAACTATAAGTCCATCTGACCAGATACGGACTAGCGGTCCTTTGTCATCGAGTATACTTTCAGAATCATCCACTATTCCACTGTATTACAGCTGACTGACAAAACCTCTCAGTATATTCATTCACAGTTTCTTCTTTCTTTTGTACACAGTTAGTAATTCTAGACCAATCTATCTTTTTTACTATCTAGCACTTTTTTACTATCTTCATACTACCATACGCATTCTGGGTGAATGGCAAATTCCTTTGTCAAATTCAATCTGACTGACTGAGTCACTATGGAGTCCATGTGCTCTCCTAACAATTACTTAAATTCGCTATCTGACCACAATGGAGTGGCAAGGCCACTTTTCTCAGTTGTAGGAACCAACCTAGCATTTGTCACAACCATTTTGTAAGTTTCTTTGTTACCACACAAAACAACTAACTTTCTCTGATCAACAGAGGCTACGCTTGTTTACACAGATCGACTGTTGTAAAACCTTCTTTGACAGAGCAAAGGAAATCCACAATGTTACTAGCACTGTATGCTAATACTTCCCTGCTTGTACAGAGGTTCAAGTTTAGATGGGTTTTTTTAGGTTTAGAGGATACCTTCTCTAGCAACATAGAGGCACTATTCCGTTAAACAAAACTTCCCTGACTTATTCAGAGGATCCCAAAATATTAACATTTAATGTCAATCTTCCCTGCCTGACAACAAAGGATATCTTTAAAAGACAGCTTTTAAAGGATAACTTTAGTTAATCAAACACTACAGCAGTCTGATAACTCTTTCTCTGATGGAGCAGAGGCACAAAATTTGTACTGTTCTGGTTCTTTGAATAGAGTGAGAACTCACTGAATCGTTGTTTGTATGAAAAGATTCAGTCTGGAACTCAGTCAGAAAAGTTCTTTTTTTTGTTGAGGTCTTGTTCTGGAACTCAGTCCGCTTTGAGATCTTGTTCTTCTTGAAGTTCTGGATTTGTGTAAAATTCTCTATCTGGGTCACGGCACCATCTTGTGGTAAACTTTTCTCCTTGATGAAAAGTTAGACGAGGAGACCAGGAGACAATGGACGTTTTCCATGCAGAAGTTATTTATTGCTTGTAGCTGCAGTCATGTCAACATCGTCTAACTAACTTAGAATACAGAACTATTCTTATGCATTTAAAAAGGGGGCGGGATTACATTGAGGAGGAGACTCTTGAAACAAAGCAAATGTAAATGATTCAACGGGCACCTCAGTTCATCAGCATAGCAGTTTTCTGTGCCTTGAGATGCTAATCTGGAGGAGTTATATTGAGGAGGAGACTCTTGAAACAAAGCAAATGTAAATGATTCAGCAGGAACACACCCTACTCTGAGGGCATTACCAATCCAATTGAATCAGCATAACTATTCAAATGCTGATAGTGGCCAGGAACTCTGGTTCCGAAGAGCCATCCCAGACCCATTAAAGACAAAAGATGGAAGTCTCCCCTATAGCTTGTCCAATCAACCTAAATGATTCAATCTCTAGGCTGAAAGGTGAGAAAACAGATAGGAGACTCTTGCTGGAGACTTTATCAGTTTTTATACCATTGGAGTGGAAACCTAAATTAAACGTATAATAAAAATTTGTTATACCACACTAGTGTGCTACTGGTTTTAGACCAAGTCCATAGTGAATGTTCACTCTTGGTGTGAATAGTTTCTTGCACTGTTATTTACTTCCCCTCAAGTTATTGCGGAATACAAAATGTGTATTGAATTTATCCAAAAGGATATTGATTAAATGATCAATGGCATTACGGTGCCTTAACTTAACACCTTTAAAAAAGTACTCATGAGTGTATTGATATCAGGCTGTTTTCAACCAAATTTGATGGAAATGGAAACCATGCACATGGAAAACCATAAGCTGCATATTTACTATATTGCCGACTGTGAATGTACTGTCATTGGATTGAATTCACCCAAATAAATGCAAAAACATACCATATTCCTTAAAGATGAAAAAAAAATTGCAGAAATTGTCAGTTTTATAGTATTCGTTTTTGGGTGAGCAATTCCATGAGCATTTGGCTATACCACCACTGAGTTTTTCAAAAGAAAAGCAACATTTCTACAGTGATGTTCAGCCTTTTGTCAATATCTGGTAAACACATAGACACTAAAAGCATGTTAAGAATGAGACTAGGTTTTACACAAACTCGTACTTTATAATTTTGCTCTTTCATTTCAGAAGAGAACAAGGATGTGCCTGAATTGAAATCTGAAGGTGTCCAAACTGGTGACTCACCTGAAAAACATGAGGACCTCTGATGTCGCATGGCTTGGATGCAGAAAAGACCACCAGGACACAAAAAGAGCCAAGTGACCAATAGTATCTGCACTAGTTGATGTGCTGTTCGCTCTTCATCTGCAATAATCAAGACTGAAAGGCACTTACTTCTTAATGAGCATGGTTTAATCATGATGTGATACAACTGGTTTTTTAACTTATATGCTGATTTGGATGTTGTATTTTTCTTTTTGTTTGTTTGTCTTGAAAGTGAAATAAAGTCAAACTAAATCATCCATTTTTTCTTATTTAAGCAGACTTTTTAAAAAAATTATAAACCACATACGAAGTGTTTACATAGTTGTGAACTGAGCTATTAGCATATACTAACTTTAAAAATGGTGTATTGTTTTAAATCATTAAAAATGTGGAAGGTTTATTTTCAGTCTAAATGAAGTGAACATTTCTGCATCAGTAAAAACTTTTGGGCCGTCCAGTGTCTTGGCCAAAGGCAGGAAAACAGTGGACAGGTAGCCAGTCAATCACAACACATTTAGACAGACTACAGGCAATTTGATGACTCCAATTCACCTGACTTGCATGTCTCTTGGAATGTGGGCGAAACCAGAGTACCTGGAAATATTAAAAAGTTGGAAAATGTATTGAACAAAGAAACATGCACTAACTATTTTAAAATTTGCTACAGAATGTTTTTAAATTTGTTTCATTTATAATTGTTTCATATATTTATATTGTTTTGTGGTCTGGATCAGCACGCATTGTTCAACTGATAGGTAACAGTGCCATGGGAGGATCATGCGGTAGATGAGGCATGCAGTGTGCTCATCTGGCCACTGAAGCAGAACAGTGAGGATGGAGAGTTTATCCAGTGGAAGTGGGTTGTCGAGGTTTTGTGGCACACTCTACAACCCAGTTCCTCAGAGACGTTGGATTCAATGGCCAGAGTTGCGTCGCACAGTAAAGAACTTATCTGAAGGAGCTGGCTGTGGTGGTTGACGGAAAGATTCTAGCTGGCTGTGTACAGGCCACCAGGCTACAGTTTCGTAGAATACTTGAAGAGTCTGTTGGTTTATTTACATAGGTTGCATAGTATTTAGTCAGTACGTTCCTGTGTATATTGAGTGAATTACGGATGGTTGAGATATTGTGTTTTGCGGTAGGTGGGATGCCGTACGGAACCGTTGCCACTGAAACTGCATTAACGCACCAGTGGGGCTCGACAGCCTAGTCAAACATATAGTATCCAGCTGCAGACCCGCAGCACACCAGTTTCAGAACCCCAATGCCAGAACCCCAGCACCAGGGCCGTAAGTGAGGGGCGGAGCTTAGGTTCGAAACACATGAAACAGCTTTTATTGAAATGTAACCAGTGAAGATATACATACGTATATACATATGTATATCTCCACTGAGGACGGAAGGTGCCCACTTGAAGACCCCAGAGATGTCCCCTCCTCGGCTCAATACAGACGGTTGTGGTGCTGGTCCACTGGGGAGACCACACTGTAGTTGCAGCCGTTGTCTGGGCTGACGCACCAAGTAGCCTGCAGCCGTTAACGCCGGACAGAAGGGGAGTCACACCACCATATGGAAAGAAGTTAGCCTAGAAATCTAGACGCACCATAGCGGCAGCAAAAATTATTTTGCACCAAAGCAACTGAGTTGAAGCAACTAGCAACGCTTTAGCTGGAAAACCCCAACTCTGTAAGGGCCAATCACATCGTGTATAGAGTCGGCGGGCGGGCTTAACAAAATGACGACAGAGTTGCGACGATCAGAGCCAGCTCGGATATATTCGGTTTTAAGTCGTTCATCCTCGGATGGGGCCGGCGCCGCGCGCGCTGTTACAAAAAAGCTGTAAAAAATGCTGCAATATTTGTGGGTCCAGTAACTTAGAAGTAAATATAATATATGTAAATTTAATACAATGGTGTGTCACCCAACAACATCTCATGTGGTGGTCATGTATGATAGTGATTTCACCCTATATACAAAATTTCTACACTGAGTCGGAGAAAGAAAGGAGGGAGGCTGGGAGTGTGTATAGGTTGCGCTATCCTTGTGAGGGCCAAATGTCCTCATATAGTGAAATATTATGACAACTGACTAGTTTTGACTGACCTTTTTTTTACTCACTATAGTTAAAAATTATCATAAAATAATTAAATTGTAAATCTTATAAACCAAGTTTTGGTTTTGCATGTTTCTGAGTGAGGTAGTTGTACAGTTATCAATGGAAAGCCATAACACACGGAAGCCCAACACGTGGAACTGTTTCTTTACAAAGCTGGATTCAAAGAAGCAGAAAGCAAACAGGTGAATCATTATGAAAATATGGAATAAAAAAATCCCCCCCAAAAAATAAAACAAATCTGAAAAACTGTGTTTTCAGTAAAGTATTATTTCCTCAAAATGATGTTTTCACTACTGTTACTAACATCTATCTATCTATCTATCTATCTATCTATCTATCTATCTATCTATCTATCTATCTATCTATCTATCTATCTATCTATCTATCTATCTATCTATCTATCTATCCATATCCATCCATCCATCCATCCATCCATCCATCCATCCATCCATCCATCCATCCATCCATCCATCCATCCATCCATCCATCCATCCATCCATCCATCCATCCATCCATCCATCCATCCATCCATCCATCCATCCATCTGATGATCATTCCATCTATACTCTAAAAAATGCTGGGTTGTTTTAACCCAATTTTGGGTAAAATATGGACAAACCCAGCCATTGGGTTACATTTTTTTAAATGACATTTTTCACCCAATGGCATGGATTTGTCCATTGGGTTAAGACAACCCAGCATTTTTTAGAATGAGAAAGATCCTATAGCTATGTATCTATATCCTATATCATTACTGGGTAGTAATTAGCCTATGCATGGAAGTATATGTATATGCGAGTGTTTATAGGTGTGTCTGCATGCAGCGAGTGTATGTAGGAGTGTTGATTGGTGTATGTGTAAGTTTTATAGCTATGTAGGCTAAATGCGAGTAGGCGCATGTGTGCGTCAAGTTTATGTATATGCAAGTTATTCACATGTTTATATGCATTCATTTCTAAAATAATATGTATTGCTATGGATTTCATATTAGTGTTCACGTGTATTTCATATATGGATTTTGAACATCCAATAGTGCATGTATATGCGAGTAATTTATAGGTGTATATGCACGCGTGTGTTATGTATGTGTTGATAAGCGAAGTCTGATTTAAATACGTGGCGCCTCATATTCCAGCGTCTAACTTCAATACAAATTACTGTACTTTTTATAATGCATATTACATGTCACACCTCATTCTTACATACATAATTTCATATGCACAATTTGTCCAATCCTAGATTTTTAATCAAGTTTAACCCCCAGGTGCTCTTCGTTTCGGAGTCACACTTGTTATCCTCCCGGTCAAAAGTGACCGGACACCTAAAAATCAAATGTCCTCCATCCCAGTAAAACCAATGCAATTTATTTTTGTTCTATAATGCAAAAGTCTTTAGACTGAAGCATGTGAATTCCCCAGATGTTTATGAACACATTTTTTTTTTGTTTTTTTGGTGGATTTGAATATATAGTTGAAACAATCTCAAAAAAATGTAAAAAAAAAATAAAATAAAAATTTGTGAATTTTTGTGTTTTTGTAAATTTCCCATTCATTTCCTATGGGGGTCATTTTTGACCAAAGACCACAAGTGTGACTTGTGTCATTTTTTTTGTGTGTTCACATACGTAATGCCATAAAAGTCACCGAGTTTCGTAACATTCAGATGAAGCTGTGATTTTTAAAAATTCAAAACATACTTTTTGTAATCAAATTTTATTGGTGTGTATGTATATAAAAGTGTGTTTGTGTGTGTGTGTTTTCTGTTTTGCACTCTAGATGTTGTAGAGTGTCACCCCTTTCCTGCGGTGTAATTTTTTTTTTTAGAATTGTGGCCGATTTGTAGATTGCACGTACAAAAATTCAGAGAATTTTTTTTTTGTCAATTTCCCATTCATTTCCTATTCTGTCATTTTTGACCGAAGACCACAAAAGTGTGACTATTTTTTTTTACGACCACATAGCATGCTCGGATCATGACCTCAATTTTTTTTGTATTCACATACATAATGTCATAAAAGTCATCAAGTATCATAACATTCCGATGAAGCTGTGATTTTTAGAAATTCAAAACAGAACATTTTTCGGTCAGAAATGACCGAAGAGCACCTGAGGGTTAATTTCAGTCCTTTCACAATTTTCTTATAAGAAGCTTTATTCCTCCTGGTCTTCCTTTTCTGTGCGTGGCCTCTCAGCATCCTCCTCCTTTTGGTCTGGAACACAACACTAAGGTAGGCTAATACATGCTTTTCCCTTATATGAATGCATAATATTTGTTTCTTAATACTGGTTACATTTTACTTACTCATTTCATCAATAAAACATTTTTAGTACAACATGTTTCTGTGTATTCATTTGTTTGCATGCCTGAATAATTTCATTATCACTCTTGTAATTTCATAGTTGTAATACAAGACTATTTATAAAGTCTTATAAACCGTTTAAAAGCTATATAGGCTAACATATCAAAGACTACATATAAACAGTCTTATAAACAGTTTACACATAAAAACTGTATGACATATATAAAAGACTGTATAAAGTCTTATAAACAGTATACCTATAAAAACTGTATAACATATCAAGTCAAGTCACATTTATTTATATAGCGCTTTTTACAATACAGATTGCATCAGCTTCACAGTGATATCAAAGACTAAGTCTTATAAAAAGTCTTATAGCTTTTATGAGTAAACACTCATAAAAGCTGTAATACATTTTCAAGACTGTCTATAAAGTCTTTCAAGCAGTTTACACATAAAAGCTGTAATATATTTTCAAGACTATAAAGTCTTATAATTAAGCAGTTTCGGCACCAGAGGTATACGTCCTTTTTTGTGTCATGACTTAGCTGTTTCCTTACAATACATACAATTAACTCATTCTGTTGTTCAACGAAAAAACAAAATCCAACGTCTATCGTTGTGCATTAAAGAATATGCACGCAATATCTCAGTGCAATGCACGCAATAACTTTCTCTGTGCAATGATGAAAACACATAATATGTTTCAT